TATATATATAGGGGAGAGTCGGGTGGCCGCGCCCCACAGTCACAGTCAATTTCATATGTATAGAATATTTTTTCAAGTCAATGGGCCTTCGGACATTAATTGTTATGTTAAAAAAAGATTATTTTCAAAGTTTCAGGAATTGATGCAGCTGTTAACATGGTAAACTATAGTTTTGAAAATATGTTGAATACAGTAGTCATGAAATTAAGAAAATTGTTTGAATGCTTTGATTAAACTTCATTTTAATACTAAAAAAATAATTTTTTCTATGCATACAGCATTAAAGTATGTAGTCTTAAGTTCAGTTTGCACGAAGAAAGAAGTTTATATGTGAAAAATTGTTCGAGTAATTACAAATTTACAAAAAAGTTGGATTTCGGGCAGAACCCGCTCTCATGAATGTCGGGTATCACCGCCCAATTTTATTTCGTCGATAAATGTACGGTTGCAAAGATTATTATTTTATTGCTTCAAGTTTGAATGTTATATGTATTTTTAACAACAAATATTGTTGTTATTAAAAGATAGAATTCACTAAAAGTAAATAAATATGTAATAAATAAAATAATTTTGTGATAAAAATGATAAATGAGGTTTATCTATTGTCAATACATTGGTCACTTTCATTTACACCTGTAATTTTTGTTACTGAGCGGGGCTACCCGACACATTTTGAAAAGAGCTGAAAAACATGTTTTTTTTAAATTTCTATTTTTTTAAGTTAAACTATTCTTTTTTTGTTTATTCTTTTTGCATTATTTAATTAGATGGTAAAACAATAGAAACATACAAAAATATTGATTATTACTCAATATTATACAGAAATATAAGCAATACTCCTTAAGTGGGCGGGGCTAACCGACTCTCCCCTATATATACATATATTCTTTTGCGAAAGTTAGGTTTTAAATTTTTATCCTTCTTACACCAGCAAAATTATTTTGCGAGCTTTTCATGGGCACGCCCGAGACATAAGTTTGTAATAACTGGATTATATTATATTAATCCATTTGTCCTTTTAAAAAGACTGCATCCTTTTAAAAAGACTGTTCCATTTCCAAGTGTTTCATGTTTTAAATTAATTTTGTTTAACCAAGATAGTTATGTGTCGACCACAATTTATTAATAATGTAAATATTTATGTTTAACAGCAATGACGCATTGTTTTAGTGAAGCTAAAGAAATAGGTCGTAAAAAATATTTATAATACCAACTTTTCCACAAGGGTGTGTTTCATATATTGACCATTTTTTTGAGGCCGGGTGCTAATGACTTAACACCTAATGGTCGGTTGGAATTTCTTCGTCTTCCTTTGTCGGTTTCCGGGCGTTTTAGGTTACTAAAAATATTTGAAATTAGCTTCTACCACATTATAAAAGCATTGCAAAATTAAGCAAAAAAAATTCTTATGGTAAATTTTGTTGTAGTTCATTTACGTCGCACTAGAACTGCACAATGGGCTATTGGCGACGGTCTGGGAAACATCCTTGAGGATGATCCGAAGGCATGCCATCACAATTTTGATCCTCTGCAGAGGAGATGGCACATTTGCTTCGGTAGCCCGAGGACCTGCACGCGAAGTCGAGCACGTTACGGTAGAACTGTTTAATGAGGACCAATACCGCACACCCTCGGTCGTGCAGACTAATGCAAGTGGTCACCCACCCGTACGCTGATCGCGGCCAGTGATGCTTGGCTTCGGTGATCTGCTGGGAACCGTGTCTTAACGATCAGTCCACTGCGGGACAGATTTTCTTTTGTTGCTAGATACAAATAATTTAAAACATCTATATTTTTCTAAATTCTGATTGAAAAAATTTCTATATTGACCTAAAATTTCTAGATAACCCTGAATGTACTATAACTTATGGTACCAGGAAAAAATTAGACAATTTGAATAAAATGAAAAACTAACAGATTTCAGGCAAAAACGTAAATCCACGTGGTCCATCAGTGAAAATGTTAATGAAAAAACGTAAATTTACGTGACTCGATCGTTAAGTGCAGCGAAAGTATTATTGCAGGAATGGAGACAGTTTCAACCAAGGCTGAACTAAGTTCAATCTTTTAAGCGTGCTTCAGGTTTTTAATGACATTCTGATCAAATGTATAAATTTATGTAAAATAAAATTGAATGTAAAGATTATTGGAAAAGTTATACATGGTGATTACTAATACCCGCCCTTCATATTTTATTTTATTATACGTACCATGTACCTAGATACAGGATATAATACACCATGTATCTAGTTAGAAGACACATTATAGATCTCAAAATAATATTTAAGGGAGGAGAAACAAAAACTCTGCAGAAATTCAAATAAGTATGACGGAATTGAAAATAACAAAATCAGTTTGATTGCCGGGTGTCTAATAATCAGTAGTTCTCTTTTCACTACCCATCAAAAGAATTTGAATTTCAAATTTTGCTGATACTTTTAGCTCAGTTATCTACACAGTTAATATATATTTGCTTGAACATTAGTGCGAATGTTTGCTCACATTGCTATCATATCTGTATATTTGTGAATAATAAAATATCTTATTTGAAACTTTACTCTCACTTTGCAATTACATAAATTCAGACTCTTTTTTTAATATAAAATGAATGTGAATCTTATTATATTGCCATGCCTTATGAAATAAGCTATGATAAATGCATGGCATATTGTAATGAGAATTAGCGACTTGTCTTATCATATGAAGCAGAATCAGGGTGTTCTAATTTAAACTGACGGTTTTTAAAAATTTATAACAGGAAAATGTTTATGATTATGGAAAAAGGAAAACAATTATAGTAATGAATTCGAGTTACCATACAATAGGTCACAAATTCTTCTTCCAATAGTTCCTGTTTTTGGATCAAACTATTTTTGGCAGATGATACCATATGAGTAGCAAACCTTTTAATTAAAGAAATTAAACTTCGTAAAACTCATCACAATATTTGGTTAACTTTTATTCAATTTAAATTGTATTAAGATATTATGGATATGTTTTATTATCAGCCTACATCACATGACATAATTGGAATCACGGAAGCAAAACACAACGGAAACGAAGTTAAAGAAGAGTCTGCCGTGCCATCTGTCGGGGAAATGTGTAATTAAAGCTTGAAACAATAGGTAAAAAAAATATAGGCTCTGTCACATGAATTTTCTGCAAGATTCTTTTCATATCGACTGTTTCCTGGTTATAAATGTTTGAAAACCGTCAGTTTAATTAACTAAATATTCGTTTTAAAGCATGCATAATCAATTAAAACTGTGACAGTTCATAAAATATTTATTTTTTCCACAAAAGATAATATTACGGACATTAGAATTTTTATTCAACATTCGTTGTTATACAGACAAAAGTCGAATCAAATATAGAACAGAGAAAGATGTTGTTTTGACAAATAGCGTGACAAAAAATCGGTGGGGATACATCAAACAGTCATAATATTCTACATGCTTTAAATTACAATTTTAATTATTACTAGGAAAATGAGAAGAAGATGAAGAAAGAACATTAAATTTAAGGTATTCAGATTAAAACTGATAAATTTATTTAAAAAAAGTTGAAAATTTGTCAGATTTAAATGCTTTAAACTGGGTGGACGTTTCTGTTCCAGAATTGTATATTGCAAATCAGTCGCTCATATCGTTTCCCGAGCTAAGGTAGATATTTATCGATTGAGGAATGTTTAACTTATCGAGGTTACGGATAAATAAAATTATAAAAGAATAAAATTAAAAAATAAGAACAAAATTCAATTATTAACACAAATATAACTGGCACAATAATAAATTTAAAAACGAGTTTATAAAAGTAAGATTGAAACAGACAAAATGCTCATATATTAAAATACTTTTAAGTAATTTTTCTTTACGTGTAAGTGATGAAAGAAATATTATAGATTTAAAAAATTTTTGTGTGCGTTTTTGCTTTTGTATTAAAAATTTATTGAAAAAATATCAGAAGTAACTTTTATCCGGATAAATATTTATCGTTATATTTATAAATGCAATTTTATATGAATAAATTAACAATTAATATTTTTAAAAAAATTAGAGATTTTTATTTTTTTGGTTCCAAGTGCAATTATTTCCGGATCACAAAATGTTCTTCAAGTAATTTCCTTGCATCATGGCCTCGGAGATGCTGACTTGATGATAGTACTCAGGGTTATAAAGGTGAAGATTAGACTTAACGCAATTATTCAAAACGACGTCACAAAGGCACAAAGACGTTGCACAAGTGTCGTCATTTTTATCTGAAATTGAAAAAACAAGTCTAGTTACGTTTACATGTTAAAATAATTTTTTGACTTTTTGGTCAAATTTGGCTCCGCTGCAAATTTTTCAGCTTCAACTGGAATTCATAAGCCATGGATCATCTTGTGATATTGGAATTCGTATAAAAAATGAGCAACGTGTTTCTAGCGAAAACTAAAAATGCAAACTACTGACAAACTATTGTGTCATGCTGTTTGTAGAAATGAGTTACACCAGTGGTTTTCAAGGAGCTAGTTAATTAAGAGTAGCAGTTATTGGTAAAAGTTCCAAAATAACCTACACAGCCTGTTTTTGATTGATTCTTTTTCAACGAAAGTTTTTTTTCCGGGAAGCCAGGAATGTTCTTTAAATTGTTGTTCTATCAGAGGATAAATATAGCCAATATCCTATCCAATTTTTATCCTATCAGAGGATAAGTGTTTTTTTCGTTTAAAAAAAAAAGCTTTCGAATAAGAGTGGCGTCAGAAATTCAGATTTAAAGATGTTTACGTCATTCCTACCTGGTGACATATTTTCTAGTGTTGGTATTGGATAGGATAAATTTAACCTATATCCTATCAGAGGATAAGATTTTTATCTATTTTGAGAAAAACAGTTTCCGAACAAGAATGACGTTAAAAATTCAGATTTAAAGGTGTTTTACATTATTCCTAACTGGTGACATATTTAGTAATATTGGTATCTATTTACTGGTATTGGATAGGATAAATTTAACCTATATCCTATCAAAGGATAAGATTTTTATCTATTTTGAGAAAAAACAGTTTCCGAATAAGAGTGACGTCAGAAATTCAGATTTAAAGGTGTTTACGCTATTCCTGCCTGGTGACATATTTAGTAGTATTGGTATCTATTTACTGGTATTGGATAGGATAAATTTAACCTATATCCTGTCAAAGGATAAGTTTTTAAAATTTTTTTTTTATAGAAAAAACAGTTTCCGAATAAGAAAAGAATGATTTCAGAAATTCCGTTTTAAAGGTGTTTATTTTATTCCTACCTGGTGAAATATTTCGTAAAGTGGGAAAATAGATCTGGTTTCTTCAGACCTCATAAAATTTATTTTTAAGTGGGATANTTTAACCTATATCCTATCAAAGGATAAGTTTTTTTTTGAAAAAAAAAAAAAAGCAGTTTCCGAATAAGAGACGTCAAAAATTCAGATTTAAAGGCGTTTACGCCATTCCTACATGGTGACATATTTCGTAGTATTGGTATTTGTTTCCTGGTATTGGATAGGATAATTTTAACCTATATCCTATCCATTTTTTATCCTATCAGGGGTTAAGTTTTTTTCTGAAGAAGAAAGTTTCCGAATAAAAGTGATTTCAGAAATTCCGTTTTTAAGGTGTTTATTTTATTCCTACCTGGTGAAATATTTCGTAAAGTGGGAAAATAGATCTGGTTTCTTCAGACCTCATAAAATTTATTTTTAAGTGGGATAGTTTGTTTCACTTTTATACTTATTTTGTAGGTTACTTTAGAACATTGTTTCGTTAGAAACATTTAATTTTTGGACAAACAATTCCAAAAATATTATCATCATGCCAAATCCAAAGAAATTACAGAAATTTTTTGCAGTTGATTTGTCTAGTGGTACTAAAAAAGGAGCTTACAGTATTTTCTAAAACGATAGTTTGCATTTTTGTTCTCATTTGTGCGTTGCGATTATATTTAGTACTTGCTTATTTATGATGTATGTCTTCTTAAACTTTTTTTTGTTTTGCACAAATTTTTTTGTGGGTATAATCAGTGGCGTGTGTATTCAGTGGCATTTTTTTTGTGTTCCTGAAATAAAAAATATTAAAATACACTGTTAAAAATATTGACGCACGTTAAACTGTAGTGTACTGCAAATTGGAAAGAACCCAAAACTCTTTTTCTCAAGTTAAAACCATTTTATTCTTTGAAATTTATCTTTTAATATATAATAGGATGACATCATCAAGAAATGTGTACTTATTCCTAATGAAATCAAGAGAATCGCGTTGCTGAATGTCCGAAATATTTGTTATATCCGATTTGATATTAATTTATTCGTTGATATTATAATATTTATTCGATATTTTAATACCTGCTGAGTATATATTAGGAGAAACAATCTTCGGAGTACCGGTTAAATGCATGCTGGGTAGGGGCACTTGACCTTAAAAAAACATTGATGTAGGACATACCGGGCAGTGGCACTAGACCTAGTATATATTTCGGACATTTACCAAAGTGGCTATGGGATTGTCAACATTCATCGGTAAAAGTCAACAACCACCAATTTTCGTCATTCACAGTAACAGATACACTAGAAAGAATATACTCTCACTGTATTAACACGTTGAATGCCAGGCTAATTTTACATGGCTTGCCCGTCTGGCCAAAATGATTTTCACAGTATGTATTGCATTAATTTCTTCAAACCATTTTAGTAACGATATTAATATAAAAAGAATTAAAAGCATTAAAAACTTACTCGAATTATGTGTTTTTAATAATCTTGAATTCGACGGTCACCGGTGACCCCCGTGGTGCTACGAACAAACTCAGTGCCGGTCACCGGTGACCCCCATGGCATTCAACGCGTTAATAAAAGTAATTAGCAAATTTGGTTGTCGATTTATCGAATGATATTGGCTTTTGATAAGATTTAATAAAAGCCAATTTGAAGGCTTATTTGAATTAGTAAAGGCCAATTTATAGGCCTGTTTGATTTTTCACTAAACTTATGGCTCATTAAAGGTGGATTCAAAAGTCGATTCATTGGATCCAAAATAATTAGTAAAGGCAAATTTATAGTCCTGTTTGACTTTTCACTAAACTTATGGCTTATTAAAGGCGGATTCAAAAGTCGATTAATTGGATCCAAAATAATTAGTAAAGGCAAATTTATAGGCCTGTTTGGTTTTTCACTAAACTTATGGCTTATTAAAGGTGGATGTGAAAGTCGATTCATTGGATCAAAAATAATAAGTGAAGGCAAATTTATAGGCCTGTTTGACTTTTCTCTAAATTTATGGTTTATTAAAGATGGATTCAAAAGTCGATTCATTGGATCCGAAATAATTAGTAAAGGCAAATTTATAGGCCTGTTTGGTTTTTCACTAAACTTATGATTTATTAAAGGTGGATTCAAGAGTCGATTCATTGGATCCAAAATAATTAGTAAAGGCAAATTTATAGGCTTGTTTGACTTTTCACTAAATTTATGGCTTATTAAAGGTGGATTCAAAACTTGATTCATTGCATCCAAAAAATTAGTAAAGGCAAATGTATAGGCCTGTTTGACTTTTCACTAAATTTATGGCCTATTAAAGGTGGATTTGAAAGTCGATTCAAACGGTCAAAAATAATGAGGTTTGAAAAAAATTTGAAATGTATTTATAATGGTTATCGGTTTGAAGCAAATTTATCAACTTATTTTTGAATCAGTTTGCAGACGTTACAGTCTAACGTGGATCATTATTTTTTTTAAACTGTTTATGGATCAGCAGTTATGGATTCTCCTTGACATACCTTTCGATGTAGAATTATCACCTGTATATCTCAGCGTTCGACGTTTTTTGCAACGACGTTTTTTGCATCTCCTTTTTTTCCTTTTGAGGAATCCAGCTATATTAAAAATATTGTAAGACTGATGTATTGTAATATATTGATTCACCATTTTTTTTGTTCTATGGGAAAGACAGTTCGTAACGTAAAATGTATGTAAGATTTTTTTTAATAGTTTGTAAGCATTGTACTTTTTATATCTTTCAAACTTGAGTCAGCAGGGATGCTAACAGTTGCGGATTTCATAAAATATTTTTTAAAAAACATTGCAGATTTTCCTTTGATTTGTCAATTCTTTAAAAGACGAATATAATGCTAAAAGAAAATGCCTAACTTCGAGGATTATTTTCTTTTTCAACTAAGTGTACTGAACTGAATTGCTTTAAGCACCTGGGTACATTGAGGCCGCTTGCGGCCCTCTTTTTAAAATGTATTTTTAACTTGAACTTAGTGGTGTTGCGATGAGGTGGTGAACTTTTAAAATAAGTCTTTAAATTATTTAAAAGTAGTAATGGGAAAAAAACCCAATGAATTGAATTTTCTAAACCAAGAATAATACATTTATATTTAAACGCTAGAAAATATTTATCCTAAATCTGGAACAAGTTGGTATCTCCAAGGCAGGTATAAAAGCCCTGCCATCAATCAATAAGGAAGAAGACGAAACAACGTTTAGTGACTGACATAGAAATTGTTCAATTACATTTTAACTTGTACTTATAAAAGTAGATCTGTTGTCATGTCAAAAATACAATGAGAAAAAAAAACTTTTACACATGGCCATAACTTATACTGGCGAACATTTGTGATTTGTGTGAAATATTCTCATCTATAGGTAAAGAACTAAAGCAAAAATCTTTAAAGCAAATAGAATTTTTATGAAACTTAATCAGAATTAAGACCACGATAATAGGCATACCCTCCAACATTCGAGGCGAAACATTTTTTCCTGTGATAGAACAGAAATTTTAAAATAAACTAAATTTTTAAATTTTTTTAATGAGAACATTGAAGCTATTCTTATGTATTAGCCTTACTGTAACTGTTTAAATTTTTTATGCGTAATAGTGAAAAAAAGTTATTCAGTTCTAATTACTTTTTATTTAATTTCGGCGAGTGTAGGAAGTATTATATCTTATATAGATATAATACTTAAGTAGTAATTAGTAAGAATGGCTTATATCTTTAAAATGCTTTTTTTTTTCCCTTCCAAAACCCAATACTTTGCGCCAGGAGGGATTCTTTAATTAGATAGAAATACTGAATTTGGGAGAAATGATCTTCAGAAAAGTTATCTAGTTTAACTGTACATATTTATGATGCATACTTACCACATGTTGCTCTTTCATTCTCTATCTTGTAGTTATAGTTTTTGCCATACAAAGCTTTTTCTCCTTCCTGTTGGCAAGCAGACAACTCGACCTCCTCGTAACACAAATCATGGCTTTGACAGCACCTAATATAAATAAAAAAGTTAGTTTTGGTTTCTAAAATGAGGAGATTAGAAATAAATCCATTGAGTATAATCAACGAAGAAAACTATGATTCAAAGCTGCTGAACTGAATTACCGAATAAGTTTTTGAATAACAAATCAGATAAAACAATTTTTTTAATATCTTGAATGATCACAATACGACAGGATCACCAATTCTTACACAGAAATACCCATATACTACAGAATACCTAATACCAGTTTCAGATTTTTGTGTCCAAACACTTTTTGTATTAAAAATATGACTTGTACATTATCTGGCATGTGCTATAAGATTCATTTAGATATGATAAATTTACGTTAGTTTCCGTACGCTCTCGTAAGATTTCAAGTTGGTGCGCATGTGTCAGTTCAGGTGAAATGTTCATAAGAGATTTTGAATAAAATTCGTAAATTAAAAACGTTAACGTAGTGGAATATTATTTGTGGAATATCATTTGATGGCAAAATTGCATATTTACAATGGACGTAGACTACACTATCTGGCCATTAATGACCGGACACCCCTCATTTCGGATACATGAGGTGCTAGTATCAAGTCAGAAGGGCGTAGGGCTGCCACGCGCCCGAATCACAGCTTTAACCCTTCTAGGAAGGCTATCCACTAGGTGTTGGTACACGGCGGCAGGTATTGCCCGCCATTCCTCCTGTAACATGGCGAAGAGTTGAGTGGTGGTTTTGGGGCGTTGTGGTCTGGCCCTCAACCGGCGCTCCAACTCATCCCAGAGATGCTCAATTGGATTGATGTCGGGACTTTGGGATGGCCAGTCAAGCTCTTGCACCCCCATTTCATCAAACCAGTCCGTGATGGCATGTGCTTTATGAATGGCAGCGTTATCGTGTTGAAACACAAACGGGCCATTACCGAACTGTAGCCACAGGGTGGGAAGAGCCGAATTGTCCAGGATGTCTCTACACCCTTCTGCGTTCAGGGTTCCACACCAAGGGTCCAATGCCAAACTATGAGAAACAGGACTACACCATAATTCCTCCACCGCCGAACTTCACAGTGTTCGGTCATTAATGGCTAGATAGTGTATCTCTTTAAGGCTGTGGCTTACGATTTAAGATGCTTTGCTCTACTAAAAACTGCAGTTCCATAAGCAGAAAAGCTTGATAGATTGTAGATTTTGATGAATTCAGCAATTGAGAATGCACCTTATTATTTTAACATTTAAAATAATGTTGAACTTCTAATGATTATTTAACTTCTCTTAACTAAGTTGTATAGTTAAAATAAATATAGTTCATAATTTTAAAATAGCAAAAATATATTTACTTTTTTATGAAACTAGTACAATTAGACAAATATAATATTAAGCAAAAACGAATAAAATTATATATTTATTAAATGAACCAGTTGTGTAAGATCACACGATTCATTTCTAAATTTCATCAATGCATTTCTTCGAATTCTTATTCCATGTCCATGTTCATAGGTAAGCTTAAACAAGTGTTCATAGGTAAGCTTAAACAGGCAACAACATTTAAGAACTGTAAACAGCAAGCTTGTAGCCAACATAACCACGCCAAAATAACGTAAAGATACGCAGCATTTAAAATAAATGCAGTTGCTTACGTACATCTTACGTACGGAAGCTAACGTAAAAGTATGCAATCACCCTAATCATTGTTATAGTTTTTTAAAAAATAAATAATGTTAAAAAGCTTTACAAAGCAAACAAATAAAAATTTTCTTGTCATGTGATGATTTTTAAAGACGTAATTGCCTTAAGTATTTTTTTTTTAAAAAGTACGATAAGTACCGCGCAATACATACCCATCCAGTGGATCCACTGGAGTTCCACTTCCACCTAAACCACAGTAATTTCCATAATTTACAAATTTTGTACCCTCTGTACCCGTCAGTTCCGTCCACATGGTATACATGTTTGTCAAACTCCGGCGATTTCTGAGGGAAATGTCTGTGGAAATAAAAAGATAAACCACATTCCGATAAATTAGTTAAGTAAAACTGGTTGGCAATAAATATTTTTCAAACCATATTTTTTTAAAATAAAATTTTTTTTTTTAAATAAACCTAATTGGCGAAATAGATAATAAATATAATATTATACATAAACGTATAATAAATATAACGTAATATCATGTATAGATATATAATATAAATATAACGAAATATTATACACAGATATATAATAAATATAACATATAATAAATATAAATATTATTCATACATATTTAATAAATATAATGATAAGCATAGATATATCTTCTTTTTGTATATATATATGTTTGAAAGTTTGTCTGGATGAATGATAAGATAAAATTTTTAAAGTCGACCCATTTTCATATTGAAAATAATCTTAAATTAGATTTCATGCCAGGCAGTTAAATTTGCAGCTCTTGTGCCACACCTATTCTAGTTATAAATGTGTTTTTGGTGTAAATAAATTAGCTGAAAATGAATAAAATAAGCCAGATTATGGTTTATTTCGAAAGGAAAACTTAAAAGAATTGTTATAAACGTTGAAAATGGTTATTAGGGAAACATATTTCTTTATTAAAGAATTTAGTTATTCTGATTTGATAAGCGACTTAGGAAACTCTAGTGTAATATTTTAGAAATGCTTGTACTTTTCATAATTTGTACAATATATTGTTATTTTAAACATTATATTTTATTTAAAAAAAACGCCATTTCTATTTTATTTAAAAAAAACGCCATTTCTATTTTATTGGAATTTTATTAGAAATAATTTCATAAAGGCAACCGAAAGATTAAGTAAATTATTAATAATAGGTTGGATCTAAATGTAAAGAAAGGATTCAAAATTCACCACTTATTATTAAAAGTACTAAATCTTGGAACTCTTTCTCGGAACCCTAGGGTTCTGCCAAACACCATTTGGGAACCGCTGTCCTATATCATCCGTATGAGCAGCTGATTTGATTATCTATTAAATTATTAAATCTTTGATTACATATTTTCTTTTTGATTCTTATGACAAGAAAATCCGCGCCCAAATGTGTCATTCTAAGAAAAAGCTTGNATTTTGCAATGGCTATATTGATACAATATTAGAAAGCACTCCTTTTTGCGGATATAATCGCGTGAGCTGATGAAAAGATTATATCTTTTATATTCCGGATTTGTATTAATTTTTTTTCTTCTTTTTTTCGGATTTTTTTTCTGGATTTTTATTATTATTTTTCTTTTTCCCTTTTCTAATTATTTTGTAATTTTTCATTGCTTTCTCTACATTCTGAATTTATTTTATGAGTAATTGCACTTCATGCGCAGTAAATAAAACTTATTCTTTTCCTTAATTTTCTTCGTTTTTTTTCTTTTTGTCCTTTTTGTATTTGTCTATTATGATACATATATATAAAATTGAAAAGATAAAGTAGAAAATATATAATTCTAAGTTAGTGACAGCGCCAAACTGCTAACGTCACAACTGGAAGAATATTTGAAGAAAAATATTTTTAAGATGAAATGAAACAAAATAAATTATTACCTCATATGTGAACTTCGTACTTGAATCTGCAACCTTCTAAATTCATCCAAAAAATTCTGTTTCCCATATGGTAATTTACGCACTTCCACTTCGATTTTCAAGATTACGTCATACAATCTCAATCTGTTGGTTTCTTTTGTTTTTCTTGTGGAAGTCGGGTATCTGGTTCTTTCGGTAATAATGCGACAAACCGTTGAAACTGCTCTCGCACTGATTGCATGGTAATACCATGCAATCAGTAATACTGCCATGTATGTCAGTACCTCCACTTTAATTTCGTTTTCGGTTAGTTGGTATTTTATTTACGTCGCCCTATAGCCGTAGCTCTATTGCGACGTAAATGAACTACAACAACATTTACGTCGCCCTAGAGCCGCACTATGGGCTATCGGCGACGGTATGAGAAACATCCCTGGGGATGATCCTTAGACATGCCATGACAATCTACATCCTCTGCAGAAAGGATGGCTCCTTTGCTTTGGTAGCCCGAGGACCTACGTGCGAAGTGGAGCACTTTACGGTAGAACAGTTTAACGAGGCGGTCACCCTCGGACCCTACTTAGGCTGATCAAAGTGGTCACCCACCCGCGTACTGACCGCAGTCAGTGTTGCTTGGCTTTTGTTGTTCTACTGGTGTTGCTCTACTTCGTGTCTTTGCGATCAGTCCACTGCGGGAAAATTTTGTTTTAGTTTTTTTCCTTTTTGATTTTTACGATGTTCTTTCTTGCTACAAACTTTAAAGCACTCCTGTTGTGGTATTCCCAAGGTAATATTTAGCGTGTTATTTCCCGTTAATGTTTTTCGGATTTCTCCTATAGTGGTAATCTTTTCAGTTCTCTTATGAGGTAATAACTTATTTTGATACTTCTGATAGTTAAGATAGTTCTGCGGACACTGGCTATAGTCCTTATTCCCATACTTGAAGTTCTTTGATTTTTTTACCCTACGGACACATTATAGGTATAGAATTTATAGGTCATATTATCTAGTTTTCAAATATGACATCAGAAATTTTTCTGCCTTAAATAAATAAAAAAAAGTAATCGGTAAAATGCTATACTTTCAATTTTTTTCTGGAAAAAAAGCGTATTATCCTGGAAATTTTTTTGTCTCAAAATGTGTATTCGTGTTCAGCACCCCAAGGAACATAAATGTACAAATAATAAATAAAAACTCACCCCAATTTTTTCAAAACGTCCATTTGTGAACTTTATGGACCAAATAAAATCGCTACGCATAAGTTATTTAGTACATTTAATACTTTTTTTTAACAGTCCTTAAAGGTTTATTCATTTTAAAGGTTCAGTCCTTAAAGGTTCATCACTTCTGTTCATTTGACAGAGTTATTATGGGTCTTATAAATTTATAACAGTGGTAGTAAATACGCATTATTATCACAAAGAGTTTCTTTTTTTATACCACTTCAACATTTAGAGATATGAATTTTCATACATGTATATGTTGAAGTGGTATAAAAAAAAAGAAACTCTTTGTGGTAATAATGCGTATTTACTTCTTCTTACACCCTTCAAAAAAATTGTATGTAATTTTTATCATAAATATATTCAATTATTGCCATTTGTTTAATTTCTGCTACCATTTTTAAAAACTTGTACTAGCCGTAGGATACCCGGCTTTATTGCTTCTTTTTTCCATATTCTAAGTTCTAATAAAATCCAAAGCACTGCGAAGGCGATTATTTCTTAGATTTTGAAGACGTTAAAAATCATGTTAGAGACCTTTTGAGCTTCAGAAAAATGATTTTTCAGATTATTTTCAAAAGAAACTGACTGAAACGTGGTGGCTCTGGGGATAAAGCCCTCACCTACCAATGAGAGAACCCATGTTCAAATCCCAGCTGTGGCTGGATCATGGGTTGCAATTCCCTTGCAGCCGGGCAAACCTTTGGATGTTTTCCTCTCCATCTAATGCAAATGGGTGTTAGTTGCATCAAAAAGCCCTTCACAAAGGCTAGTTTGTCCCAATGCTCGATCAAGGTGTTAGTTCCCTTGTCATTTGGATTGGGTTCAAAATTACAAGGCTAAAGGAGTCAAACATTGATAGCCTTAAACTCAAAATTAGGTCAGCTGTTCAACGTAGGTTATAAAAATGAAAAATTAAAATACCGTATATAACATAATAAAGACAAAAAGGATGAAAGAAAAGAGATACTAACGAACAAAGTTAAGAAAAATAATAATAATTGTTACCCTGTGCAAATCCATTTCAGGCAAATCCATGGCTAATACTATGTGCGAAACAGGCAATTCGTGTTTCTTTCTCTTTTCTACTTTACTTTTTTCTTAAATAAAAGTTAATTTTCTGAAATTATTAATAGTCAACTTCCTTAAATTATCCAGTATAATATTACCTTGCGCACATCCATTTTCGGGCCCATCCTTGGTAACTGAGAAATCAAACGCACTTCAGTACTGAAGTAAGAACGCATCATAAAACAAAACTCCTTTTTGTTACGCGTTTACCTCAATTTGCGTTTCTGATTTCATATTTTGTAATCTTGGCAATCTTGTTACGAAAATATTTTAAATCATTCTTGAAAAATTTCCCGGTCATGTAAGTTAATTTGAATTCACTACTTGCTTTACATATTTCGTTTTAGTTTTATTCTGTTTTTTTCGTTATATTTTATTTTCTGTTTTAATGTGATATTTTTACTCTATGTGTTCTATTTTATTTGTTGTAAATTTTTTGAAAGTTCCTCGCGCAATTGTATTGATATATTTTGCAATGGCTATATTGATACAATATTAGAAAGCACTCCTTTTTGCGGATATAATCGCGTGAGCTGATGAAAAGATTATATCTTTTATATTCCGGATTTGTATTAATTTTTTTTCTTCTTTTTTTCGGATTTTTTTTCTGGATTTTTATTATTATTTTTCTTTTTCCCTTTTCTAATTATTTTGTAATTTTTCATTGCTTTCTCTACATTCTGAATTTATTTTATGAGTAATTGCACTTCATGCGCAGTAAATAAAACTTATTCTTTTCCTTAATTTTCTTCGTTTTTTTTCTTTTTGTCCTTTTTGTATTTGTCTATTATGATACATATATATAAAATTGAAAAGATAAAGTAGAAAATATATAATTCTAAGTTAGTGACAGCGCCAAACTGCTAACGTCACAACTGGAAGAATATTTGAAGAAAAATATTTTTAAGATGAAATGAAACAAAATAAATTATTACCTCATATGTGAACTTCGTACTTGAATCTGCAACCTTCTAAATTCATCCAAAAAATTCTGTTTCCCATATGGTAATTTACGCACTTCCACTTCGATTTTCAAGATTACGTCATACAATCTCAATCTGTTGGTTTCTTTTGTTTTTCTTGTGGAAGTCGGGTATCTGGTTCTTTGCGGTAATAATGCGACAAACCGTTGAAACTGCTCTCGCACTGATTGCATGGTAATACCATG